AGAACATCTAGCCTTGAGGATGAGATTGGATAGCTAGAAGGTTGCTAAACATTGCTCGAATGCGCTATTGGTGCAGCAATTTCCTGTTGTCAAACTTTCCTGAAAGTTAGAAATATGTCTGGCTTAGTGTCTTTCAAACAGCGTCCGGCAAGGGATTCTGATTATATTATAAAGGATATGGCGATAAACGAGGCAAAATAGTTTGTTGGACGCAGTTTTAACTAAATGAAGGAGAAGTCTCTCGGTGTTAAATTTGATATAATCCTTGAAAATTATAGTCATGGTAGTTGAAAGGAATGCGATTAGGTTCATCTTAATTAAATAAGATGAGTATATTTATATAATATTTTTTAAATAATTTCAAATTATGTTTTTCCAAGGTCAAAACTATATGATTTGAGTAATTTTAACTATTGCGTAGTTAAGTTCGTTATAATAGTTTAATTATATAAAAAGATATTATTACCCTCCTAACAAGCTTACGTACACTAAATTAAATCTACTTGATCAACAAATATGTTTTAATCGCGAATAGCTTGATGCACATCTGCAGAGGTGCTATTCAGCCAATTAGCTTCCTAAATTATTTTTTGTTTAGTGAATTGGCTGTTAAATTTGGGTTTTAGCATTTATTTAACTAATTTATTAATATTCTATTAGTTGCTTATTATCACTTCTTTAGGAAGCGAACTGTGAGTTAAATTATTTCAATCTTACCACTGTATTTCTTGTAAAATATATATATTGCATAATATCTCTAAAAAATAATTGGAGATATTTCTGAAATTCAAAGAAATATAAAGCTAAATTAGAAATAAGTATGTTAAATACAGGAAGTACTTAAGTATACTCACGCAGGAAGCACTTAAGTATGACTATAAAAATTCGTAGGTTTAAGAGAAGATTTAGCAAAAGTCTAGAAAATGTATTTCTAATCCATCAAAACACAAAATTGCAAAACTGCAAATTGCAAAAATATAAGATATTGTATAGGTTAACTTTAAATTTCTATGTTTATGCTCGCTCAGATAATATATTATATAATATATTAATAAATAATTGTAAATGTAGTATCGTTTTATTTCTATAAAAATGCTCACACTGCAAAAAGGTTTTAAGTTTGTAAGCGTGAACAAACTGTTAAAAGATTTCAAACTTCCAAAATCTCTGCGCTATATTGGACTACGTATCCTTCGTATGTTCGAGAACTTTGCGAACAGTCATTTTAAGATAAACAATGGTATCCTGAAGGCTGTTGATTACCACCGGTACAGATCCTGAATGACACTCGATTACCACTTGGGCCACTTGATTACACTTATCCTAAATAACACATGATTACCTTACTAATACAGAATATGGGACCTCCTGGTGTCATCTTTCTATAACACAAAACGGAAATATCAGACGTTCGTTGAAATATTAACTAACAAATATTAATCGTTGAAATATTAACTAACAAATATTAAACTAGGTGTATAGAGAGTATCGAACATTTCACATTAAGATTTCAGTAAATTCCAGCAAGAATATCACAGCATATTTACACAGTATTATCACAGAATCACAGTATATTTTTTGAGGAATATTTTGAAATAAATGTACCTGAAGTTTAACAGCCAAATGAATGTATTTCCTGTGTTTGAATGCACTGCACTTGAATATTTTTCAAAAAAACTTAGGTTTATCTTACATAGCTACCTATTTCTAACTGGCAAAGCCACATCGTAAAATATTTGTAAAAATATAATGCTAGTATTGCGTTTGTTTTTAGAATTATCAAATTTAAGAAATGACATATTTTGAAATGGAGATTAAGAATAATTCTGAAAAAGAGACATGGTTTAACGTATTTTTATTAATGTAATGTATTAATTTGAATTCCTGCCGTGAGTTTTTTATGTATTTTTTATGCCGTGAGTACATTATAGAAACTAAGATAAAAATGGATTGGGAAAGTATAAACGATATAATAATGACAAACAAATATTATCTTTGTTATTGATCCACTTTCGTTTCCACTCATATCTTTTATAATTTACGGAGTACAGCTAAGAGTTTCGACATGTTTATACATATTTTACTGCGTGCTTTAATCAAATCCCTTTGCCTTTTTCTTAATTCTAATTTTTATTGCTTTCCACAAGGACAGAACCCGTTTTTGATTACGTTTCATAAATAAATTTCATATCATATATTAAAAAAAAAGAAATCAATGAAAGAAAATAAATTTGAATGATTTCAGATTTTATATTACACCCAAAGGAGTATTTTTTTAACATTTTGTGTGTTACCTTTATTCATTAAATATCATGTTTTTCGCACGTAAATCGCATGAAATGCAATTCAACAGGCATAGGTAAAAGTGTTGGGAGCACCAGAACTTCATTAAAGATTGCAGAGGTATAGCTCCCAATCACTAACCGAATAGAACAAGGGGGGGTGGAACAAGAAGCATAAATCTGATGATAGTTCTTTAGGGGGAGATTTAAAAGTTTATTATTAAGAGAGGAGGACAGAAAGGGAAAACGATTTTCAGAAGAAAACTAGAAAAAGGGTAATTAGAAGGGTTACTGTACAGTGGGTAAATCAATTATTATCCCATCGGATGAGACCAGATCTCGAGACTTTGTACCGTTGGGAAAAGAGGGAAATCCAATAAAACAAGTTTTACATTAAGCTAGTATAGAATATATCATATGAAAAATTTAGAATAATTGTTAAAACAGAAAAAAAAAATATAGAGAGAGAATAATACATCAAGTATACAATAACATATAATGTGTCATTATAACAAAATTTTGAATTTTCCAAATTTGGAATAAAACGGTAAAACATAGAATATATCATGACAAATACAGAATAATACTTACATAAAGTATATAATATATCATATAATAAAATGAGAATTTTGAATAAATTACTAAAATGTAGGATAATACATGATGTATCATGAAATAAAATTAATAAAATAGAAATAATTCAACAATAATAGAAGATAATATAGATTAAGAATAGAATATAGATAATACAGATAGATTATATAAATATTATATTAAGTATTTAAGTAATGCAATTCAACAGCAATATCACAAAATATTTAAAAACAGCATATCTTTAGAAATTTCGAATGATAGTCTCGTGCGCTGGAGATAAAAATGTTTTTTCGCCGTACACTGTTGCCATTGCTTGTTTTAAAATCGTTGTGTTTGTTAATCAAAAATTCGTTAAAGGTTTACAAAATATGAAACAGGAAATGAAACAAATTCGAAATTCGGGCTTCCAGGTGCCCATGCTCAGGTGGAGGGTTACATAATTCAAAATTTGATGGCTCTATGAACCGTTGTTTTATCACAATGCGAGAAATATACATACATTTATGCAGATTATTCATTATTTAATTAATTTTTTCACAGTGCGAGAAAAGTACATATAATCATGCTGATTCTTCATTATTTAATTTCTTTAAATATAATACAGCGCGATAATTTTTTCTGGTCCCATTTTGATAAGTGATTCAGACTTTTAGAGTGATTTAAAGCAAAATACGTTTCGAGATTAATATCCCTTCCTAGCTAACGCTTCTTTGGGCTAATTATTACTTATTTTTCTATTATAAATTCAAAAATATATATTTTATAACTTATAGTTAGAAATATCACAGATTTTACAAAAATATACCTAATTATATTATCTTTATTTAATTCTTTATTTGATGTATAATTGTAGGGCAGCGCTAATTTATATGTTCATGTTTCGTTGTTTAAAGTAAAATAAGTAATATAATTTTAGGTTATCTTTGTAGGTAAAGCATCTTAAATTAATTCGTGACAATGCACTTGAATTAATTCAAATAAACAACATGTGCTTATAAAATCATATTATATCATATTCATGTGTTTGAAATAAATCATAACAGTAAACAAAAATTCAATTAATTGACGTGGAATTAAATGAATTATAGTTGAATTCATCAGCATTTGAAAAAAAGGATACGAAGTTTTAAATCGTTATTTGTAATTTCGTCCCTGCATTCAATTTTGTAAACACACCTGTTTCCGAAATTCCAGAGCTCCGCGTTCTCAGTGTTGTTATCGATGTAAAATATTAATCGCCCAATATTTTAATACGAAATTTCGAAAAAGGATTGCTCATATAATTTAAAATTTAAATGCGTGCATTAAAATACAGCTACATACACGTTAAATGCAGGGTTTAATTTCTAAAGTTAGAAGTGCAGTAAGTATATGAAATACTACTTAGGAAAGAGGAACAAGAATTAATAAATAAATAAAATAACTAAAATAATTAATAATTAAAAATTAAATAATCAATAATTAAAATAATTAAAGAATTAACTAATTGAAATTTAACAAAATGTAAAGAGGTAAAATTAAATAAGCGATTTTTAATTTAATTTGATTACAAAAAATAAAATGCTTGAGATCAGGTTTGAACAGAAATTCTTTTCCAGTTATATAAAACGAGTGCCTGAGCCCACTTATATAGAGCTCCTGTACGCTACGGCAAAAATTATGATTTGTCCTAAAAACTAAGAAGTACCGGAGCCGGACTTCGGTGAGTTAATTTAAGCTCTGGTTATATGCTATTTAAACCGGGAAATGATTTTTCTCTCAAAACAAACAAGTTAAAATTTTCTACGTTAAACTGCCGATGATTTCTTTATGCTATTTAAAATCGGGAAATGATTTTTTTCTCAAAACAAACAAGTTAATATTTCGTACATTAAACTGCCCATGATTCTTTAAAATCTATCTTTTGTGAAACTGTTTAGAAAACGTAAAATTTGGAAACTACTTGCCATGGGAATGAACAGATTCGTTGAGGACATCAAATTACGAAAGTGAAATAAAAGTATATTCATCATTTTCGCATACGTATTCATTCAATATTATCAATGCCTAATTCTGATATTAAACTGGCTATTAAAATCAAAATCCCTATACTTTTGTCTCTTATGTGCAGTTTATCTTTTTAAGGTGGATGTCCAAGCCTTCCAACAGGACTGCCAGATGATTACTATCATGGATTCAGGGGCTGCATCGAATCAGTGGTGCTAGATGGTGACCCATTGCATCTGGTAATGCATGGAACAGGAGACCTTTCATTTTGTGACGCCTCTTGATTATATTCAATGAGTGCCTTTCTGTGTACTAACAACAGGACATCAGGACCGATGATCGCTCAGTGGTCTCTGTGAAATGGTTCTTCATCCATTAATGAACTAATGAACAACGTTCTCTTCTTCGCTAGCAGGGTAACAATATCAGACCGTGGATGTGGCAAGCGACAACCTATCAGATGAAAAGCGTCTTCGGGTACCGGAGGACAATTTACTGCCATTGCGCTTCAACGTGTACTTTCTTTTCATCATCCATATACAGATAAACAAAGACACTTCTCATCGCAGTGCGTAGTCATTCTTCGACAATGCCCTTGACCATAGAAGAAGGAAAATAGATCATTCAAAATTTTTCTTACAAGCATAATGAAGTGACCATTTGTAACACTGAGTTGAAGAAAGTATAAGTTTTTTGGGGGTTTTCGTTTCATGATTTTTGTTCCTGATCGCAGCCATCATAATCTATCTTCAAAGAAATGCAGTTGAATATATAATGCCTACTAAATTTAAAATCTGTAGTATAGTTTCTGTCAGAATACTTCTGTTCTCTCAAACGTAGGAAATTTAAGAACATCATTTTTTGTTATAATTATGAAAGACCATTTTTATTGAAACAATAATCGAGTTTACGATTGAAATTTTACTATTAATTGAACTGATTTATATTATTATTTAATAAAATACACATTAAGTTTTTTTTTTTTTTTTTTTTTTTTTTTTTACTAAGAGGTTTATCATGCCACAGTAATTACGTTAATGGAATGAGATTCTGAATTTAATTGTTAATAGTTATTAAATATGAAACAGGTTTTTCTTATAAACAAGACTAGATTTCATTACTCTGATTCTCAACGCATTTTAATTTTCATTATCAAATAAAGACATTTAATACTGTATTATAGAATTACGTGATTAATCAAATTGATGTTAATCTTAAAGCTTCATCTCATTTTTTCAGAAAAATAATTATGCGCTCCTTTATTGCAGGAAATTTAATGGATTTGTTTTCTTACGTTATTGAATCATATAGCTTCATATTACTGAATAAAACTGTTGTTTTATCTTTATTTATATATTTTTACCTTTACGAGCAATTGATTTAAAATTTCAAAATTTATAACATTTTTTATTTTTAAATAACCCAGTTAGCAATAAATCCTTCCTATTTAAATTGCAACTTTAATGCTATGCTGAAAACATGCTATCTGCGATATTCTTTATGCATTGTGTCTTGACATTTTCGTTAGAAATATATTACATATTATAGTAACGGATTTTCATTATATAGAATAACTATAAATTTCTTTGCAAATAAATTGAATTTAATGCTGTTTCAAAGGTATTAAAATTTTTGCAAAATTTATTTGAAAATAATAGAATTTTGGAGTCCGCCTTTAGTATATATAAAACCTTTAGTATATATAAAATATATAGCAGTGTACGATTTTTGATCTGTGTTCATGAATTTTTATTAAAACAGTAATCTTCAGTCTAAAAATTCCCATTTTATTCACCTAAAATCTGATGTCACAGATCAAGTTAATATTCTCGAGTGTACAAAAAGAATTTAGACTCTTCGAATGCCTTTCCATATTACTTTAAAGTATGAATCATAATCTGCAAAATAAAAGATTTAAATAGGAAACGAAATGCCGATGTTGCTTTACTCTTTATATTATTTACTTATTTCAAATTTTTAAATGCATGTAAGTTTTCCAAAATATGCACATATCACCCGAGTTGTTACATATTTAAGAAATTTATGAGATATTGAAACGTTAAATAGAGTGTAGCATTTTCTTTCTTCCCATTTCTCATTTCAAAAACATTTTGCTAAAAATATAGAGAAGCAAAATGAAAAGTAAGTTATATAAATTAGATTATATTGGGACAATCATTTAATTGAGATAAAGAATAGCAGTGAATAACTGTGTTTGTGTAAATTAGAAGCAGAATTGCAATTCCTTACGCTAGACGTTCTTCAGGATCCGTTTTTCTAATTTTCCAGAAGAATAAATAATAATTTAACAAATATAGAATACATTTTGTAGTATCAGATTTTCCAGTTTAGTTAATTCTGAGTTTAGTTAATCCATAAGTTAATTCTGAATATTATTTTCGTTCTGTACAGTATATGAAATACTACTTTCTAAGTTTAAAATAACCTATTTTATCTCCGCTAGATGGCAGCACTACATAGATTATTATTTTAATCAAAAGTGCTGTAAAGTAATAAGAAACATTTATTATCGTTGATTTTCATAAAGCATAAACATGTATAATTTTTTATTTACTGGTATATATGAATATATTTTGTGGCACTTAAAATAAGTTCAAAATTTTTAAAAGAAGTTCAAATTTTATAAAAATGAGACTTAATAATAAATTATTCAAAATAAACAATACATAAAATGATAAAAGAATATTTCACAAAATCAATTAACTGATGTTCATTATTCAAGTAACACTTAAAATGTGGGAGCAAAATTCGTTTTAAATTTCATTTTACTGCAGTGCTTATGGAGTTATAAAAGATTCTACGAGCAAAGATGATTCAAATTATTTTTCGTATGTTAAACTGTTAATCAGAAACTAAAGCAGTATCTTATTATTCGTGTTGCATTCTATTTTTCTTAAATGATATAAGTTTTATATGTAATGTTAAATATGCAGTATCATAAATACGTTAATTTATGATAATTTATTTTGCGAATTATGACTTTCACAGCATTTAATTTTTAATGTTTCTAAATTATTGAATGTTATTAACTCATTTTGAAAAAAGTAAACAGAGTGCTTCCACGTTTGCAACTGCGGTAATTCCAAAGACGCAAATGAGTGAATGGTGGAACAAATTTCTCATAAGACAATGCTTATTTTGCGTGAATATTTGTCAATATTCTTGAGGTGTCTGTTCTTACTATTTACAAGTTGTGAATTGAATAAATATGTTTATATAAACGTTTATCATTGTACTTATTGTTTCATAGTTCATTTAAACAACATTCTTTTCCAATTCAGTATTTGTAATACTGGATTGTAATACTTGGAATACTGGATTGTCAGATACTAATTTAAAACTTTTATCCCCCCCCCCCTCAAATCTAGAGGAAGTTTCAATTAACACAATATGGCGAAAGTTAAACATTTCAGTTTGAAAGTGATCCTTTTCACAAATTAATTAAATTCTGACTGCTTTATTTTGCGTTTCATATAAAAATTTTAATAAGAACAACTGCTGATATAGAATTTTTAATAATAAAAACAAGGGTTTAGTCAACAAAATTCTCAGCTCAGCAAAATATTAAATAAATAAAAAGAAGAAATGCAACGTATTTGCGCAAAACGAAATATAATAACATTTTATTTCCATAATTACATTACTTAAATTACAAATAAATTTAACAAAGAAGGAAATTTTTTAGTAAAGATATGCAAATGATAAGAATAATCAAAGATTACAAATTGCTTAGTACAAATATTACGTCTCATCACTAACGCACATTATTTTGCTCAAAATAATCCACTCCAGAAAGAGTACCTACGATAAAATGACGACAATCTTTGAATTTATTCAATGAACGAACGATAGATTCTTAAAAAATGTATTTAGCAGTAATAATTCTCATTTCTCACAAATTCGTAGTTATGAAATTACAGCAGGCATTTTCATTCGCCCTTATACAATGCAGTATAGTTTAGCACATTTTCCCCATCATACATGGCAGTATACAGGGTGTCTCGTAAATGTTGCGACAAACTTCTGAAGCCACATCATAAGGATTAAGAATTCCATAGGAACCCATGCCCAGAAATGTCGGGGTAAGAGGTAGAAGAGAAAGAAGATTGGAAAGGAAACAAGCGAGTGTTTAATTTGAAACATTTATTGGACATGAATACAAATGGTGTACGACAGCTTGAATGCTATAACAGATGCTCGAAGATTGCACCATCGGACGCCAAACATCGGATCGACACACAGTCCTACATTGCATATTTTGCACTCAAAATACGTTGTTTGCTTTCGCTTTTCCTTGGTTTTTGCCAGCGTTTAGTGCTTTTGCCATGCGCTAAACGCATCTTCTCCTACCTTTATTACCTTTCCGTCAACGTAAATTTTCGGAAAATGTCTTCCAGTTAGACGGAAAGGTGGAGTGTCCGGTGGTTTTGGAGAAATTTTTAATTTTTTAAGTTAGGTCTCTTAGCCATGGCTAACGGAATGTAACTGAATATAACTCCAACACATGTCCCAGACCTTCTTCAAAAGACACTCAGAAATATTTCATCCTCAAACCCTGTGTGACATCAGGTTTATATTAGAAAACTTCCTGTTTTTCTGAATCGAAAACAGTGTCCACGATAACCGGAAAGTGATCAAGGAAGACCCCACTGGCAGGATATTCGTTACTGATAACGTCAATCTATACATTATATATAATTACATTATATGTAAAGTAAATACATTATATACCCAAATATAATGCCTGTGTCATTATATATAATGAACATTCAAGTCATTATATATAATGAACTATTAAATCGAGTAAGAAAAACAAAAACGCTGGCTCCTTCCTCGAGAAATGCGAGTGAGTAAGACGCATTACGCGTCGAGAAAGCTGATAGTCTTTCCCCTTCTGTAATAATTTACTATTTAATTAACCAAGGAAGCTTATGTTAAGTATATAAAAAAAGAAAATCCTAACGAAATAAACAAAAACGCCTGTGCCCCTTTAATTCACAGGCGTACTTATAAAAGAGCCGTGATTCCCACTTTGTTTATTTCAATAAATCTATCAAAACCAAAAGTACAAAACAGAAATAAATCCCAGTACGTGAATGTCAAATTCCGTATGAATTAGTCCATGTGAAACAGTTACCACTTAGCTCCATCTACTGGCTTTTAAAAATTCAAATAAATCGTTTCGTTTTAATGTCGCGTATACGCGACGCTGGACTAGTAGGAGCAGAATCGTTGCGTCGCGTATACGCGACGCAACGGGTTAAAGGCCGAAAGGAAAGATAGATTGGAATTAGGATCGTTAGCTAGAACAATCTTCTGTTGCCCAACATTGTTGGTCCGAAAATAACACTTTCAATTTTTCTGCTGCCAAAATTATTCAAAAAATATCTTCCATTGGAGAACTGGATTTTCTAGAGGCATTTCACATTCAAAAAAATCTTTCTGTTCTAGTTAACAATCCTATTTCCAATTCATCTTTGCCTTCGGCCTTTAAAGAAATTATGTTTTAGTTCTGGTTTTATCAACAGATCGCGCCACTAGCTTATTTTCTAGCTTATTTTCTGTCCAGGTTATTTTCTGTCCAGGTTTTCTTATGTTATCTAATCATTATATCCTAACTCGTTCATTTGCGCTTTTGCAGCTGAGTATGGTGGTTCGGTAAAATCATCGAAACTAGTCCTGTGAAAATTTGAAAATATAACGCTAATTTTTGTTGTTTGACTTCTGAATTAGTAAGGTGTTCATTGTTACAATTAAAGAACCGTTTCAAATGAGCAATTAATTAAAATTAATGGGAAATTGATTCTCTTTCTCTCGGATGCCTAAAGCGTTTCTAAATAAAATATTGAAATTTAAATGCCTTTGCTAATGATATTAATATATACAATGATCACAGAAACTCATAATGTTCCACGTCCATCGTTGAATATGTACCAGAATGTGTTAGGTACAGTTGCTATAGATTATTAGGCACCGAGAGAAGGGAATAGCTGTTTTCATTAAAACGTCCCCACAGTCGTGATTTTTGGAAAAGGTCGATTCTAAAAAACAAGAAACCGTGATTGATCTTCTCCGCTAAGATTTTCTTAGCACAATATGCGATGAAATGTGCATTACGCAGAGGCGTAATAAGTACGTATTACGAGAGGCGTATTACGCAGAGGCGTAATAAGTACGAAAAGCACGGAGGACGAAAAGTCGTTTTAATGACAGATATTTGCAGAAAATAATATTTTACTAGAACTGTTCAAATGAACGACCAGTTGCAATACATACATCACAATGACGGAGAAGCGATTAGCCTATACTCTGGAAAATGCCCAGCATGTCACGACTTCTGCAGCAATGACGCTAATTTTCGAGACAAGGTCTTCAGCAGAGTTAATCTGCCTCTCATAAACGAGATCCTTCGCCTATGTGATACGCAATGTAACTTTGATCGTATATTGGGCAATTCTTGTAACATTTCATATTCCATGACTTATTATTCTATGGAAATTGTTTCTTTTGCCATACGTTGCCACATCTAAAAAAAAGATTAACAAAATTTGTGGAATGATAATAGTTCCATCTTGGCTCTGATCTCAAATTCAATTTCTGCTTACTCGGAAGATAATAACATTCAGACTTTCTTCAATCAATTTAAGCAGTTCGAGACTAATAATATATGTTCAGATGGATGTTTTATTGGCAAATAGGAGGTTGGCAGCCGCTACAGACAGAGGATGTATAAAAATCGCGAGCCTTTTCCGAGGTACATTTGGTCCTCCGGAACTTAAAGAACCGGATAGCTTTTGAACACTGCATTTCTTATGTTCACAAATCTTCCTATGTGCGTTATCGCAAAACTTATAAGGATCTTCCAGTATTCTTCAAGCGAAGTTTTTTTCTGGAGCTTGGAAAATAAATATCATGCTTACTCACAAATCTAGAAAAAACTTTTTTAATGTGAGAATTATTATCCCCAAAAGTCTTCCCCTATGTTTAGGAAAGATTTTAGAGCAACTTATATGTGTTCAATACTTTTTTTTTCATGACGTCTGCCAGATAAGCAGTTAGAATTTAGGAAGAACTTTCCGACAAGTATGAACTCATAAATATATTTAATTCATGACTTCTAGGATACATAAAAAGCATACTTAATTTTATTATAATAAGAGTTAAAATATCTAATATGGCTAACACATGACCTCTCATCAATTCAATGCTTTAAATAGCAACATGTTTTAAGTAAATTATCATTTCTGGGTCATCGTTTGTAAACAAAATAAAATTTATTTGGTCCAATAAAGAAAAAGGTCTGTATCAAGAAATTTTTTATTATATTTTTAGAGACATTAGGTTATTTTAAGCAGGAGATATGAATAATGTGCAATGCCTTTGTCGGGACTCGAACCTGGTCCTCTCGAATACGCGCCGAGTTTGCTATCATTACACCACGAAGACATGCGAAAGGAGTGAGAAAATACTTTATAATTTTATTAGGTATAATTGTTCATGTATAAAAATTATTTTTCCTAAATTTATATCAACATAATCAAATGTATGTCCCTTTACTTTTTATTAAAACTTATTGGGCAGTTGAATAACGTATAATTTAACTGGTTTTAATTGAATAAAATTAAGTAGTTATAATAAATTTAAAAACATATTTTAAACGAATACCATAATTTAATTTTCCTCTGTGTTATATCTATAGTATCAAAAAGTATAAATTGATTTTGACCAGCACGTGTATCCCCGTTATATTTAGGTATCAGTATGCAATGCTCGTTCAACTGCAACAATATGTTTTGGTTTATGTATGCAATAATATGTTATGCAGTATAGAGTAACACTTCCGATAATAAAATTTTAACCCAAATCTAATCAATTCCTTTAAGAATGCAGGAAGCTTATATACGGAAAGCATTTTTTTTTTTTAAAGTTGATATAAAAATCTTTTAGTTTGGGACATGTTCAGATCCCATTAACACATAATACGAGGAAATACTTGAGTATGTATGATACAGACATGGCAGTTATTTCAGGCGGATTAACGCCATCAGTTCCAGCCTTACCAATAAAGCATTCAAAGAAATTTTAAACGACAGTAGAAAACGTGGATGTTAAAAGGTGAAAAAATATTTACCAAAGGAAACCAAGTGCTGCATGTCACTAGAAACCGTATGTAAGTTGATAATAGAAACATGGAATGAAATTAAACCCGACATAATTCA